CAGACAGTTGTTTTAAAACACATTTCTCCCTGACACCGTACCTTATCGACGTCAAAGTGGCCGAGGAGAGGGGGCCCTGCTGCGGTAGAAGATGCAGCTAGAGCCGAGCCGCTAACTGGAGCCTTGGATCCAGCTGTGTGTTTTTTTTTTTTTTGTCGCCTCGATGTCTTGAAAAGCACAAAGACTTTGACATATGGGCCGCACAGAGAGGAAGAGCGAGGGCTCACTCTGAGGGGAGTTCGGAGAACTGGAAGACGTATCAGCGGAACGGCTAATATACGTTTTGTTTTTTGTTTTTTTAATGATCGTTTTAAATATATAAAAACTGGAGTAAATTGGATACTACCAATGACGTCAATGGTAGTGTAGACAATATTATTATTTCTTTTTCTTACCTTTTACTTCCTCTTCTCGTCCTCCACTTTATTCTTCTTCGTCTCCTGATTTTTCTTCTTCTTCTTCTTCTTTTTCTACTTCTTGTTATTATTATTATTATTATTATTTGCCTTGTATTTATTCGGTTTTGTTGCAGCAGTAGTTTATTTCAAATCTACCACGCCCACTGTTTTAGATTTAGCGGCTTGTTTTTTGTTTGGTTTTTTGTTTGGTTTTTTGTTATTTTTTTATTTTACTTATGGAGTGATGCATTGCTGCATTCGACAATCTCTGGAGAGAGCAGCCGGTCTGACGGAGAAATCTGAGCCGACTCTTCGCTCCGTTATCCTTAGAATAAAAACGCATCACGAAATGGGACGTATATGAAGCAACTTTTACACCGGAAATATCTGATTCTTTTTGTTTTTGTTTTTGTTTTTTTAAGCTTTTTTTTTTTTAAAAAAAAGAAAAAAACACTTTAAACGTTTCACGTGTAACTTTTCAGAAATAAATAAATAAACAAGCAAAGCTCTCTCGCTTTCAAGACTAGTTAAGATTTGTTCATGTTAAGTTTTGTTTTGTTTTGTTTTTGCTTCGTAAACATTACGTTTACACTGAAAAAACAATAATAATAAACAAAAATCATCTCTAAACTGGATTTTATTACCTTTCTGTGCAGAGTTCATTTTCGTCGGCCGTAATTAAATTCCTTTGACGTCATCGCTCGGTTACATAACAAAGACTTTGTCTGGAAAACTGAGACCGAGTTTTTAAATGTCCTCATTCACCTTAATTTAAACGCTCGCGACGTTGAACTGATTTCCGATTCAACACTGACATCTAGCGGCGCAGGGGTGAAACTGTCAGCGCGGTCAGTTTAAAAAAATAGAAAATAAGTAAATAACAGACGACAAAAAAAGTGACACTCACTCTGGTCGCAATGAAGCAAAGTATTTAATGTGATATGAAGCGAGGAAGCAGGTAAATACCAGGAGCTCTGCAGGTTTCGTGTGGTTTTTACAGCAAGTACAAGTACACACTCCGTATACGTCAAACAATATTCACACAGTTCGCAATTAGCACCAAAACCGAGAAAATCCAGAGGTTAAAATTAATAATAATAATAATTTAAAAAAAAGGAAAAAAAATCATAACTTTTTAATTGTCAGCAAAGTCAACGTAAAAAATAACGCGAGATAAAGCGCTGTTTTAGGACGGCGTGTGTTAAAAATGATGATGATGACGTCACGAAGATGGCAGCCATGTTTGGAGTCTTCAGCCTCTTATCGTATTTATAATGGGTTTTAAAAAAACCGCAAACAGGACGGAAACACAGGAGGAAGAAGAAGAAGAAGAAAAAAGATAAAAGAATAAATGAGTTAAAACGAACGTAAAACTTCTTAACTCCACTCTTTGAAACTATCAAACTACCTAAACCGTGTGATTGTTTAAATAAACCACGACAATAAGTTACATCCGATTGGTTCATTCTACTGGTTAATTTACTAAATTAAAATACACTAATTAATACCACACTGCAGATTTATTCTAATATTTTTTATTTACCACAGTTCAATTGTATTCGTTCGGTTTGAACCCATTTGTCGCATTTTCAAGTAAATTTTTTTTTTTTTTTTTTTTTTTTACGATTCCACCTTAAACTGTAACTTTGATATTAACGTCTCCTTCCTCCACCGTACGTGTCCGCCTTCGGCCTCTAGGTGGCGTCGTCTCAGTGGCTGTGAAAGAGAAACAGAAAAAAAATCACCGTTTATCGTTACAGCTGAGCTCGATAACGTACCGATAACGTTTAAGTCAGATCGTATTTCAGTACGGATTCTTACGACGTCATGGAACACCCGGAGACGTGTGCGGCAGTGCCGGTGTACTGCACGTCACAGCGAACCACGTTGTTGTTGAAGTTGGACTCTGGTACCTGCTGACGGGGGTTGACGGTCACCTGTCGTAAAAATCAAGGGCCCGATAATTAGTAAAACCGATTTTTTTTTTACCGAGTGACCAAATAATTAAAAAAAAATAACTGCAGTTTAAGAACCTTGAGGATGTATTTTCCAGGTGAAACGTCGGTGATGTCGATCCACTGACAGTCGATGTCGGCGTTGTAGGTGTCATAGCAACCTGGACTCAAACCCTGTACGGTTACACGCACGAACACCAAGCGTTTAATGACGACGTTAATTTAACTAAACAGATTTAATACGAACAATAGGTGGTCAAATATGTATGAATGAATTTAGTGGTAGTATTTTATAGACTGTAGTACTACTTTTTACACAAGCCAATGATCCGTTTATTTATGTATTTTTTCCCATGATCCTCTAGGGCATCCGTAGATAGACATTATTATAATACGGTACAGCCAAATACTACTGTGGTAAATAATGCCTGCATGCAAATATGGCACAAGTAGAATCTATGTTACTTTGTTACTCCCTCTAGTGGTATTCTGAGGAATGACACCTGAGAGTAAAAGTGGTCACTGAACCAGACCCAGACCCAGAAGGACTCTGTCCAGGTGTGTATGTAGTATCGGAGTATGTACTTCGTGTACTTCATGTGTGTGTTTCACCTGAGTGTGTGACGTGCAGGCAAATCGACGGTAATAACCCGGGTCACAGGAAGTGTCTTCCAGACAGAAGCTAGCCTTGTGACCCTCGGCGACCTGTGCCTGCGACTGATAGTCCAGCAGCTGGTACAGACTGAACTCGTCCATGCTGTGGAAGTGACTGGACGAAGAAGGGGGGGCGGGAACACATGGACACATTAGCCGCTCATCTCAGCATCTCAACATATATATATACATATATATAAAAACGTACTTGTGACAGCTGTGCCACTCCCAGGCGTATCGTGGTTTGCTGGGCAGAAAGTCCGAGGTTCCCTGGTTCTTCACCCTCTGAGGGAAACGCAGTAAAACTCTGGTGTCGTAGTCGTTAGCATACGTGGCAGACCTGCGGGCAACGTAAGGAGTTAGCGCACGGTTGTCAAACTCATTTAGGTTCAGGGGTCGCATGCTAGCTAATTAGACGTTAAGTGGGCCGGAACCAGAAAAATCACAACACATTTACCTACAAATACCTATGAATTTTTTGCCCTTTGTTCTCAAAAAAGTACATTAGATAAATCTTCATATTTCGTAGGATATAATTTTACAAAACATGAACACTGAACATACAGTGTTTGTTAATCAAGGGGCAAGGTTTGAAACTCCAAGCAGGCCAGACATGGCCCCCGGGCCATATGTTTGACATCCCTGAGTTAGAGGATGGTCCACAAAAATATTTACTAATGTTAGGTATTGTATTTAGGCATAGTGTGCAATATTCTTAGAAAAGACAAAACATATACACATATATATGTATTTTGATCTGACCATATATTATATACAATATATGTGTTTGTATATATATATTTATACATATATATACTTATATATGTATACACATATATGTATATATACATATGTATTTATATACATATGTGTTTGTATATTTATATATATATACTTATATATGTACATATGTATATACACATATATAAGTATATATATATAAATATACAAACACATATGTATATAAATACATATGTATATATACATATATGTGTATACATATATAAGTATATATATGTATAAATATATATATACAAACACATATATTGTATATAATATATGGTCAGATCAAAATACATATATATGTGTATATGTTTTGTCTTTTCTAAGAATATTGCACTCATATGCATATACATATAGGTATATAAATATATATATGTGTATACATATATATACATATATAAGTATATATGTATATACAAACACATATGTGTACACATATATTGTATATAATATACGGTCAGTTCAAAACTGCCGTCCGAAGGAGGCTGTCTTACGAGGCTAGGCAGTTCTCTTCAGCGGAGCAGCGCAGGTTGTACATGGGCATCCTCTGGACGTAGGTGGCGATCTGGATGTAGTAGGGGTCGGGGACCAGGTCAGGGAGACCTGCAGGCAGCAAATGGAACAACAACTCATAGTTTAAAATAATATATAATAACGACTCAAACGGAGAACACAACGAGTTCCTCTCGACATTGAGATACTGCATTCAGAAACCCTAGTATTTTATTATATTGAATACTTCAAAACTCAGACGAAAATATTTGTTGTTACTGCTGTGAATTTTCATACATTCGTTCGTTTTCTTTCTTGACGAACACAAACACCTCACAATCGGCCACAACAGCACCATCTCGTGCCCAAACTGACGCACAACCGTATTGCATCGTTAATATCAATGAGTGATAGAATTAATGACATCTAGCGGTGACAGCGCAGATCGAAAAAAACAAAAAAAAAAACTGTCGCCTCCTCAGCTTAAACCACAGATGTTGGTGTAAACGACGTAGAATCCACTTCCGTGAAAACACATTATTCCACTTTACAGAAGTCAGGAGCAACATGGCGGGAAAATATCGTACATATTAATGCTGAATAATTAACAACTGAAAAAATTCAACCAATTCAAAAATTATTTACTTGCACTTTTCTCTCTAATTTTTGGTACACCAGTAACACTGATGTACACCTTCCAGCCAAGCAGGTGGCGATGTTGCACCTAAATTTCCATTGCTAGCTGTGCGGTAGACCAGACATTATATACAGTAGGTTGGCAGTAATTTTAAAGGACGTCTTCCCGCGGGACCGAGCAAAATTGATCATTCACGGGCCACGCCCCATCATTTAAGAAACTTTGTGTATTAAAATAACTCAAATTATTGACATTTTTGACAGGTTGACACTTAAGAAAATATTAATATTTAGTTTGTGTTAATTCGACTGAAATTAATTAAAATACACGCAAAAATTAAGGGCCATCAGATTTTAGCTAATAAACGTCGCTTTAAGTGAGAAACAAAAACACACAAAAATTTTACATCCGACTAAGTTTAAAAAGTGAAATTTATAAACCTTGAAAAAAAACATCTGTGGACAGCAGGAGTTTTAAGGAGACAGTAAAAAAAATAATTTTCGAGCAGTTTCATTGGTGTAAACAGTGAACATCACTGATTAGGTCATTGGATTTTTTTTTTTTTTACATTTTGAAGTTGAAAGAGCAATATTTTCAAATTTTACACTGCAATATTTTTAAGGTAAGATTTTTTTCAATTCTTTTATTTTTTTCAATTTTTGTCATATATGTTTTTTTTGTTTGTAGTTGCATATAATCCGTTTCAAACATTTACTAACTAGTTCTTCCTTCTCTAGTGAAGAGGTTCTGGTTCCGGTTCTGCAGACCCACCGTTCTGGTGGTAGCCGGTGCCGTATCCGGGTCTGTAGTGCGCCCTCGGTCTAGGTCTGTAGTAGGAGTTGTAGTAGTTATAATAGGGGTAATAGTTGGAGGACTTGTAGGGGTTGTACGGATCATCTCCCACCATCATATCCTCTCGACCCACCGGAGCTGACTCCGGCTCATCACCCCCATCAGTCGG